GAGCCGTTTGTTGCCTTCAGAGGTCTCAATGGGCTTTCTCCCTGACATTGGAGGAAGCCCTTTGAGACCTCCGAAGGCAAAAAAGTAGGAAGAAAGGGCGGGAAATTCAAATTTTTTGAAATGCTGGAATGGATTAATTCTGTTCCCATGCATTTTAATGGAAAATGGTACTTCGACTTACGGACTTTTTGACGTACTAACGCTGTTCCAAAACGGATTAAGTTCTTAAGTCGAGGTACCACTGTACTTTGTTGGTCTACAATTCTGCCAAACAAGCATTTATGCTGCTCACTGAAACCTTCTCTTACTAAACAAAGGAGGGTTCAGGCTCTTCTGTACCACCATGAAACCAGCAAGCTTTCATTAAGTAAGCTACAATCCTCCAGGACTTTGGGGAAAGAACTTACACTTCTCACATCAAGCTCCAGAAAACCTGCAGCACTCCATGTGTCTCTAAGGCCCAATATGATGTCAGAAAAAGTGACCACCTTCCTGTAAGCTCAGGAAGTAATACTTTCCCTAATTATTTTTTCTCATTTCAAGGAATGTGTTCACCAACAAACAGGCAATTATACTGTAGAGTCTTGTTCAGAAATTTCTCTCCTCATTATAAAATAACATCCTCTGAATCCCATTTCATTATATTATTTCAGAACTTTTTAAAAAATGTGTAGCTCTTAGAAATAGAACTCACCAAAGCATTTATCAGCCCTGCCCCACCCCCAACACTGTGTGATTTGGTTCTTCAAAAGCAGCATTTGTGAAACATGAGTCTCCTCTGAGAAACCATCAGATATTTTATCCAACAATGAAAATAGGAGATTCAAAACCGGAATATGAGATAAACGTTCAATCAACTGAAAGCAGATTTTTCCCCATGTCTCTGACACTAATATACATCATAATTTAATTGTTTCAAATTACTTTACCTTTCCTGTCTGGTTTTGTACATCTTTTAACAAGCCTAATAGAATCTTTAACAAATTGACGGCTGGGTTCCACAAACTGCATTACTTGATCCATGATGAACTGCAAGAACTAAAACAAATACATCAATTTGCAAGGTTATTTCTGTACAATCATTCAAAATCAACTACAAGTTTTCTTTTAACAGAAATAATGGTGAAGTTTTAAATGCAAACAAAAGTATAACTTCACAAACTTTCATATATATTTGATTGAGCTAAAAACTACGTCTAGGCATAGCTTGAGAAACAACTCTGACCCCATTTGTAAATCCACACATGTCATCATACACAATCTGTTTTTCAGTACTTCCAACATTTCACTCCAGTGTTATTCGCATTAATATACCATGCTTCTTTGCAAAGCTGAATATAGTTTCCTTAACAATTTTTACTTTAACACCCTTTTAACACTCACTTAAGTTTACAGATGACAAAATCTGGAATTTTACTCCAGAGTAAGTTAAATCACCCCTTCACGAATTGCTGCCTTGTCGTGGTGAAGGGGCTTGAGTAATTCAGAGAAGCTATGGGCTATGCCGTGCAGGGACACCCAAGAAGGCCAGGTCATAGTGGAGAGTTCTGACTAAACGTGATACACTTGGAGCAGGCATTGGCAAGCCACTCCAGTATCTTTGCAAAGAAAACTCCATGAACAGAAACAAAAGGCTAAAAGATATGACGCTGGAATATGGGCCCCTCAGGTCGGAAGGCATCCAACATGCTACTGAGGTAGAGCGGAGAACAAGTACAACTAGTTCTAGAGCTAAGGAAGTGGTTGGGCCAAAGCCGAAAGAATGCTCAGCTGTGGACAAGCCTGGAAGTGAAAGTCTGATGCTGCAAATTAAAATACTGCATAGGAACCTGGAATGTAAGATCTATGAACCCGGGTAAGCTGGATGTGGTCAAACAGGAGATGGAAGAATAAACATTGACATCCTGGGCATCAGTGAACTAAAGTGGACGGGAATGGGCAAATTCAGTTCAGACGATTATCATATCTACTATTGTTCAAAACAAAGCAGGGCAAGGGAGTTGAAAACAAAGCAGGGCAAAGGCTAATGGAGTTTTGTCAAGAGAACAAGCTGGTCATCACAAACACTCTTTTCCAATAACACAAGAGGCGACTCTACACATGGACATCACCAGATGAGCAATACCGAAATCAGATTGATTATGTTCTTTGCATCCAAAGATGGAGAAGCTCTCTACAGTCAGCAAAAACAAGACCTGGAGCCAATTGTGGCTCCGATGATCAGCTTCTCATAGCAAAATTCAAGCTTAAACTGAAGAAAGTAGGAAAAACTACTGAGCTAGCTAGGAATAATCTAAACCAAATCCCTTATGAATACACAGTGGAAGTAAAAAACAGATTTAAGGAACTCGATTTGATGGACAGAGTGCCTGAAGAACTATGGATGGAGGCCCATAACATTGTACAGGAGGCAGCAACAAAAACCATCCCAAAGAAACGGAAATGCAAGAAAGCAAAGTGCCTGTGCAAGGAGGCCTTACAAATAGCAGAGAAGAGAAACAAAACAAAAACAAGGGAGATAGAGGAAGTTATAGAAAAATGAATGCAGACTTCCAAAGAATAGCAAGGAGAGACAAGAGGGCCTTTTTAAATGAACAGTGCAAAGAAATAGAGGAAAATAATAGAAAGAGTAAAACCAGAGATCTGTTCAAGAAAATTAGAGATATGAAAGGAACTTTTCTGCAAAGATGGGCATGATAAAGGACAAAAATGGGAGGGACCTCATGTAGAAGCAGAAGACATCAAGAAGAGGTGGCAAGAGTACACTGAGGAATTATATCAGAAAGATCTGGATGTCCTGGACAACCCAGATAGTGTGGTTGCTGATCTTCAGCCAGACATTCTGGAGAGGATTTTGAAGGGGCAGAGGAACTAGAGACCAAATTGCCAACATGCTCTGGATTTTGGAGAAAGCCAGAGAATTCCAGAAAAACGTCTACTTCTGCTTCATTGACTATGCAAAAACCTTTGACTGTGTGGACCACACCAAACTATGGCAAGTCCTTAAAGAAATGGGAGTGCCTGACCATCCTTATCTATCTCCTGAGAAACCTATATGTGGGACAGGAAGCAACAGTTAGAACTGGATATGGAACAACTGATTGGTTCAAAATTGGGAAAGGAGTATGACAAGGCTGTATATTGTCTCCCTGCTTATTTAACTTCTATGCAGAATACATCATGCAAAAGGCTGGACTGGAGGAATCCCAAACAGGAATTAAGATTGCCGGAAAAAACATCAACAACCTCCGATATGCAGATACCATTCTGATGGCAGAAATTGAGCAGAAATTAAAGAACCTCTTCGTTTTCGTTTCGTTTAGACGTTTAGTCGTGTCTGACTCTTCGTGACCCCATGGACCAGAGCACGCCAGGCCCTCCTATCTTCCACTGCCTCCCGGAGTTGTGTCAGATTCATGTTGGTTGCTTCGGTGACACTGTCCAACCATCTCATCCTCTGTCGTCCCCTTCTCCTCTTGCCTTCACACTTTCCCTCTTAATGAGGGTGAAAGAGGAGATTGCAAAAATGATCTGAAGCTCAACATCAAAAGAACTAAGATCATGGCCACTGGTCCCATCACCTCCTGGCAAATGGAAGGGGAGGATATGGAGGCCGTGACAGATTTTACTTTCTTGGGCGCCATGGTCACTGCAGATGGTGACAGCAGCCATGAAATTAAAAGACCCCTGCTTCTCGGGAGGAAAGCAATGACAAACCTCGACAGCATCTTAAAAAGGAGAGATATCACCTTGCCGACAAAGGTCCGCATAGTCAAAGCTATGGGTTTTCCAGTAGTGATGTATGGGAGCGAGAGCTGGACCATAAAGTGGACTGCCAAAGAACTGATGCTTTTGAATTATGGTGCTGGAGGAGGCTCTTGAGAGTCCCCTGGACTGCAAGGAGAACAAACCTATCCATTCTAAAGGATATCAACCTTGTGTGGTCACTGGAAAGACAGATCCTGAAGTTGAGGCTCCAATACCTTGGCCATCTCATGAGAAGACTCCCTGGAAAAGACCCTGATGTTGGGAAAGTGTGAAGGCAAGAGAAGAAGGGGACGACATCTCATACAATTTCATTTACTCCAGAATAAATTCCCAATGAGATTCTCAGCAATTTCTCACCTGGCTAGCTAGGTCTGAAACCACATTCTTATTCTAGGAGAACACTAATGATCAGTGCATAGCTATTGATTTCAGCACATAAAGAACAGCATGAGGATGGGCAACACATGGCCTTCAGATACTGACTTTCTATCAGCCTTAAGCAGTATAGTGAGGAATGATGGATTTGCAATCTGGCATCTGGATGGCCATAGATTTCCTATATCTCCCTTATAAAATTAACCACTCTATTAATACACAGAATAGCTACACAATAGAACAGAAGAGGAGGTGGGTGATGGGGCACATTTTAGACTTTCTTTGCTTTCCAGTAGGAGGTGGCATATGTTTCTAGGCTACAGGTCCCAAAATACATCAGTACCCATATTGAGGAAATTCTAGGAGGTCTAGGTTCCAAAACACAGAGATTCACACTTCTATAAATAATTATAATCGTATGTATTAGAATCACGGATCAGACGTTGCTTCTCAACTGAAATACTTAGCAATCCAATTATCCTGTTCCTTTTGACTCTTGGAATAAGAAAGATGGCAACCCAAGATAGGGTCATTTGTATTGTACTACGAACACTCTGAAATGTTATTCCAGACAGTAAATCCGATGGCTTTTCCACACTGCTTACAGGCCTTTCTTCCATTTGCGCAGCGCTTTTAAAATGTGGAAGATGATAAATATGAGCCTAAATCTTTGCTTCTTCAGAAGTGCTCTTGTGGCTTCCACTGTTTTAAGCGGTTATAGTGGAATTTAGAACAGAACAGGTTTTAACGACAGCGCAGCACAGAACTTCCTCAAATAAAGTTTGTTTGAGGGCATAGGAGACCCCCCCCCTCTATCTGTACTAAAGGGAGCAAATACAAACTCCGTGATCCAGGCTTGTCGCACCATCAGCATCGCCCACCCCCACCCAAGCAGCGTACTGTACAAACCACGGCCGGCGGCACTCACCCACTCCCGATCCGACCCGTCGATCGCGACAACCCAACGTCCGCTCTTTAAAGACACGTAGCAACTTCACCAAAGAGAGGAAGCGGAAGCCTGCGCGGGGAGCACGCAGAGGCGACGCACTTCCTCTCCTGGGGTGCCGTTGCGGCAGTAGCTTGGTTATACTTCCGGTTTATATATAAACTTCCGGTTTATAAATATATACATTTTAAATATATATTTACGGCTGTGCCCAAAGAAGTACCCATATTTTAAACTCAAGACAGAGCGGATTAGGTTTACAGAGGAGTCTTGCGTGCTCGTTATTGTCAAACCACACATACCCTCCGAGTGACACGCGCGTGGACACTTCTCTAACCAGGCTTTTATAGTTTTACGCGCCTCGAAACGGGCGATGTCGACGATCGTCACAGCGAGGAAGAAACAGACATGCCGGCCCCGCCTCTCTGCGCGAGGCCTGTGACGTCCATGGAGCCCTTTGGAAGACGGGGGGGAGGAGAGAGAGAGAGAGAGCGGGAACGAGCCTGGTTCCGATCCCGCGCGTGCGTAATAAAAGGCAGCGAGGAGATGACGGGTTGCGGGGCTGATGGGATGCGTTTAGCTCTTTCTCCCTCGTCTTTGTTTGGCGTCGGGGAGAAAGTACGTTTTGTTTCCCAAACTTTTAAATCTGCACGCATTTTAATCATACGTCCTTGCATGCTGGGCGGGATCGGGAGGGAATCGCCCGAATGGGAGCTGGGGCTGGAAATCGACACCGGCCTTTTCGACCCTCTCCTGGTTATGTAACATTACGGTTGATCCAAAGCCGCTTTACTCCACCACCGCCCTCTCCTCGCTAATGCTGCTCTGCAACTGACATCTACAGAGCAAAGTTAAAATGTAGGCAAACTAATAAATAAATAAAATTAGGGATTCCTTTGTATTTATAAAATATTTGCTCCATTCGTTTTTAATCAGTAGGGTTAGATGCTTTTATGGCGAATGTGAAAACACTTGACTGGTTAGATAAAAGTCGGAGCGTGTTTCTATGTCATTAGAAGCTAGTTAATAACATGAAAAGCTTTGGGGAAACTTATTCCAGAGCCAGTTAGGTGCACTAGATACGGTGTGTTTTATTTATTCATTCAGTACATTCCTCTACTTCTCACATAGTTCTGCACATGTAAAACCTAACCCTACCTTGCCTCCCTGCCATCACATTTTCTGCTGGGATGAAATTGTTGGGCTCCAGTCCTAACTAGCCAAAGCAGCTGAGGCCCTGCTAGGATGAAACTTGAGCAGTCAAAGCTCTGCTGATGCTGAATCTGACCACCTTTTAGCCAAAGGTTATTGAAAATTAATGGGCAGCCCTGAGTGTAGTCTATGCTGACATAGTATCTGTGGCCCTGGGACAGTGGAGATTTAGTGCAAGTTAATTCCCTCCTCACCCCACTTCTCTGTCGCCTCCATTTTGGCTCTTCTACCAGGAGAGCCAGGCTGGCAAAGCAGTCCTCTACTGGCAAATGCCTCAGGTCAGCCAGCCCAAGGACAGTTCTGCCAGGAGAAGGGCGGTCCTATTGGTAGAAGAGGTTTATGCTTATTCCTCATTCCCATGTGCTAAAACATCTTCAGACCACTGCAGTCAGGACTGCACAGCGTTCGTTTTGTGAGACCCCACTTACAGTGTTAAGTAGTTCAACCCGTTTCACAAGGGCTTTCTTGGAATATACTGTAATAATAATATATTGCTTAGTAACAATATCTTGCATAATAACAGATTTTATGCAAGAAAAAGTTTGGACAGTTATTTGTGGTGTTTTTAGGGCTACAATATGCTTGCAAAACATCAGATCATTTAATGGCTCATTTAAATAGATAGAATAGCTGCAGATTGTACTATGCTTTTGCCCCACACTGCAAATCAGTCTTGCTGCCCTCAACCTAGTGATCTATTTATCTGCTTTGCTCATCTAATAATCTCAGAGAAAAATAACCCAGCCTTTACAACACTGGATGAATTTTCTTTGCCATGTGCCTGCTGACCTATTAAGTAATACTGTGTAAATATTGTACAACTGCAGATTTATGATACTTCTGATTTTCTTTCTTTATATTTTCTGCTCACCTCTGCATCACTTTTGTTTGTCTGGTTGTATTATCTGTTAACCACCCAGTTTACTGTTAATACATTGATTGATTGATTGATTGATTGATTGATTGATTGCTTTTCTCCCCATGGGAGATTTAAGGCAGCTCACAGTCATGGATCACCACAGAATCAAACTACTGAAGAGTGTTACAAGTATCTCTTTGCAACATTTGTGGGGCCAGATACCACTTGAGATAGCCCCATGGTCACCATGGTAGACATGAAGTTTCAGCATGGATGTTGAGTCATCTCATATAAAAAGCTGAGTTGAGTCCAGAATGAGGCAACTTTAGCCAGTTCAGGAAGGAAGACTGTTTTGCAGCTGGGTAGGCAATACACTAACAGAACCCTTATTCTGCCCTGGGCACACACTCTCACGTATGCACACTCAAATCCAGGAGACAGCGAGACATAGTGTGTCATGAAAGTAATTGAATTTTGCAATTCTTCCTTGCCTACCAGTCTTTCCTCCTGCTGCACAAAGAAACCAGGTAGGCATAGCAGAGGAAAAATTAACTCATCCAACTTTATCTAGCCACATCTCTGTAATGCATGCCAGGTCAACATGTTCCTTCAAGATCAAATCCATGATCTCTTTTGTTAAAACATATCAGAAACACAATTAGGCATGTATACCAGCTTCTGAATCAGAATGAGATCAGAAATCACAATGTTCCATGGTTTTGAGACAGACTTCAAGCTGATGGTATATTCCAGCTGATTACCAACTAGCAGCTTTCCATCTACTGTATATATGTAAATATATTCCTCTCTTTGGCTGCAAGCAGTCCTACGCAGGTGAAACAAGTAACATCTCCATAGCCAATTTAAATGCAGTAAATAAAGGAGAAACTCCTGTGAGAATTTGTTGGCATTACACCAAGAACTCACCTCAAGATTCTGGTGATGATGAAACCAATGATGTCACAAAATCTTCCTTTGTTGGAATTTGCAAACCGAGTTTTAACACATTAAGAAGTTGTAGTAGTAGCAGTAGTAGTAGTACTAGTAGTAAGACAGAAGTACAACCATGGCAGAGAGGAATTATGCCAACCATTTTCCATCTAGCCACTCATTAGTTTAACAACTAAATCTCTCAAGTCAGTGATCCTGAATTCTTCCCTCCTTTTAAGATAACTGTCTTCTGCATCACTTCATCATTTTTCCTCATCATGGAACCTACAAAAGTTGATAGTAATATGCCAGACCAGATGACATCTGGCCCCAGTGTTGTAAATTCAGAAGATCGACTCTTCCTTCGGGAATCATTAGAAAATATAAATAATTCCGTATCATTTACTTTGAACAACATTTGTATAAGTGAGGCTGGTGATGAGTTTCTAGAAGATGCATGCAGACAGAGCAGTTCAGAGCCTTGTAGTGAGGAAATGATGGAAAAATATCAGAATGGCATTCTAGAAGTGGAATACAAGAACCTGCAAATAAGTGATGAGATGAGGAATCAAATCAATGAAAAGAACAAACAAGCTTTTGAAGTTCTTGCTAAAAATGAACTTCAAAAGGCAGTGGATCTGTTTACTGAAGCAATTGAACTGAATCCACATATTCCCGGATCCTACATTAACCGTGCCAATGTCTTTATGCAGCTGGATGATCCAGCTTCTGCTATTAAAGACTGTGACATAGCTATTGAGTTGAATCCCAAATCAGCGGAACCATTAAAATTGAGAGGAAAAGCATTCAAGAGTATAGGGCATTTGAGAGAGGCAGCCTATGATCTTGCTTTAGCATCCAAATTAGAATATGAAGAACAGACCAATGCTGTGCTCAGAAGGCTGCAATCAGAGTTTCAAAGGATTGCTGAGAGACACTCAAAACGCATCATAAGATATAAGGAACTGGAGATACTGGAAAAGACTCAGAATGCACAAACATCTTTAGAGCATCAGGAAAAAGATTGGAGAGGAACCCAATCTAGCCCATCATTTGAGAATGCATTAGCAAATGATAAAGAGGAGGGGAAGCTAGAGCATCATGGTCAAATATCAGATGATAATGTGGATGAGATGTGGAAGCAGGCCAATGAAAAGAAGAAGCAAGCCTTCGTTGCATTGGAGAAAGGCAAATTAGAAGAAGCCATTGAACTGTTTACTGAAGCGATAAGATTCAACCCCTGGCTTACCAACTTGTATGTTTGTCGAGCCAGAACCTTTCTGAAGCTTCAAATGCCAAATGCTGCTATAAGAGACTGCAGCCAAGCCATAAAAATAAACCCTGATGCAGCTCTATCATACAAGTGGCGTGGAAGGGCATTTTGTCTGTTGGGTTACTGGGAGGAGGCAGCTAAAGATCTTGCTATAGCTTGTCAGTTAGATTACGATGATGATACCTATGCCATGCTAAAGGAGATTCAAGCAGAGTCCCAGAAAATTATTAAATATTTGGGTAAGCTTAAAGAAAAATGTAACAGAGGAGGAGAACTTGAGGAACAGGTGAGGAACATACAAGATCATGAGGAAACACAGGCAAAGATATCTCGGGGGAAAGCAGAAACTCGGGAGACAGCATCAGGAGAACAGGGGGAAAAACACTTTAAAATGTCTCATGGAAAGAATAATCCATATAATTATTCCTCAAATCATAAAACTCTTCCTCTTTCTTTTACAGAGGAACAAGGTAAAGCTTACAATGGCTATACTGTAGAACAGGAAAGAGGTCAGATTGCAGCTCATGGAAAACATGAAGCATCTGAAGTGCAGGAAATGGGGATTCAGGAAGGAGCAGAGGGAGAACAAAAATCCTTTAATAAATCAGATAGTGAAGAGAGTGAATTGGACATCGATACAGAAGAGTTGGTCGAACCTGATGAAGATGTTCCTCAAGAAATGGGAGATGAAAGCTTGATAGTAACAGAAGAAATGCAGAAACAAGCCAATGAAAAGAAGAGAGATGCCTTCGAAGCAGTAAATAAAGGTGAACTTCTAAGAGCTGTAAACCTGTTCACTGAAGCTATTAAGCTGAATCCACAATTTACCATTCTATATGCAAACAGAGCCAAAATCTATCTACAACTTCAGAAGCCACATGCTGCTATTAGGGACTGTAATAAAGCCATACAAATCAACCCTGATTCTGCACAGCCCTACAAGTGGAGAGGGAAGGCTTTGCAGCAACTTGGTTACTGGCAGAAGGCTGCTAAAGACCTTGCCATAGCCTGCCAGTTGGATTATGATGAAGAATCTTATGCCATATTAAAGGAGGTACAACCCAAGGCTCAGAAAATTGCCAGACTATGCAGGAAACGTGAGCGGAAATGTGAAGAAAAGAAATATGAGGAGCTAATGGTTAGAATTCACAAAGTTTTTGAGAAGTATGAACAACCTCAACCTAATCTTTTGGGGTTGGAAAAAAATGTCAACAAGGTCACAGAAGATCAAACAGAGGTTTGGAAAGAAACCATGAAAGAGCAACAGTCAGTTTGTCGAATACCACTGAGAGAAGAGAAGAACACATCCAAAGATGAATTGGAGAAAAGTCTTCAGGAAAGCATACAAAAACCATACAGATGTTCTGTGAAGGAAACTGTGGAACAAAAAAACTTTCAGCAGAAACTACTAGATGAACAAGGGAGTCATCAGCAGAAGAAATATCAAGAAACAGACCAGTATGTAGAACTGGAGGATCAGTTGAGAGCTCTCCAAGAAGAACTGGGGGAAAAGATGAGAGTTTATCAAGAACAGTTGGATGAAGGTGAATATGCTTTGCAGAGACAAGAGCAAAATTACAGATTGATTTTAGAGGGACAACAGAGAGCTCAGGAGTTGGCTCTAGAAGAAATTACAAGAGCTCAGCAAGAGGCTCTGGAAGAACTGGCAAGAGTTCAAATGAAAGCCCTGACAGAACAGGAGAGAGCTCATCAGCAAGCCTTAGAGGAACAGGAGAGGGCTCGGAAAGCTCTTGAAAGTGCTCACAAACAGGTTTTGGAAGAACAGAAAAGAGCTCAGATGGCCACCATGGAAGAACAGGAAAAATGTCTTGAAGAAAAAAAGATGGCTGAGGCAACCATGGAAGAACTCTTAAGGACTCAAGAAAAGCTCAAAGAAGAGCAGCGAAGGGCTGAGAAGAAAGCACTAGAAGAAAAAGAGAGAGCTCAGAAGACTTTTAAAGAATTAGAGGCTGCTCATAAGAAGGCCTTGGAGGAGCAGGACAGAGCCCAGAAAGCTCTTGAAGCTCTAGAAAGAGCTCATAAATGGATACTAGATAAAGAAAAGGAAGCACAGATGGCCACCATAGAGGAACAGGAACAAACACAGAAAAAGCATCTAAAAGAAGAGAAAATTGGTGATGCAACTCTGGAAGAACTCTCAGATCTTCAAAGAAAAGCTCCTGAAGATCAAGAAAGGACTGAAAGGCGAGCAATGAATGAAAGAAAACTATTTCAGAGGGATTTGAAGGAACTAGAAATTGTTCAAAGAAAGGCTCTAGAGGAGCAAGAAAGAGCTCAGAAGTCCCTTGAAGCTCTAGAAAGAGCGCAGAAGTTGTCACTGGAAGAACAGAAACAAGCACAGGAAAATGCTCTAAAAGAAAGGAAAATGGCTGAGGCAGTTTTGAATGAACTATCAGAAGCTCAGAGAAAATTCCAAGAAGAGCAAGAAAAGGCAGAGAAGAAAGCAGTAAAAGAAAGAGAAGTACTTCAGAGGGACATAAAAGAATTGCAAATTGCCCGGGAAAAAGCCCTGGAGGAACAAGAGAAGGCACAGAAAGCTCTGGATGCCATAGAAACAGCTCATAAACAGGCAAAGGAGGAACTGAAGAAAACACAGATGGTTGTGATGGCGGAACAGGAGAAAGCACAAAGAAAATCTGAAGAAGAAAAGAAGATGGCAGATGCTGCCCAGGAAGAACTCTTAAGGATTCAGAGAAAGTTCCAAGAAGAACAGCAAATGGCAGAGAAGAAAGTGATGGAAGAAAAAGAGAGAATTCAAAGGGACCTGGAAGAATTACAGAGTGCTCAAAAGAAAATGCTGGAGGAACAGGAGAGAGCACAGAAAGCTTTGGATGCTTTGCAAAGAGTTCACAAACAGGCAATGGAGGAACAGAAGAAATCTACAGACGATAGGAAGAAGGCTGAGGCAGCCCTGGAAGAACTCTTAAGGACTCAGAAATTGTTCCAAGAAGAAAGGCAAAGGGCTGAGAAGAAAACAGTGGAAGAAAAAGAGAGAATTCAAAAGGACCTAGAAGAACTACAGATTACTCAGAAGAAAGCTTTGGAAGAACAAGAAAGAACTAAGAAAGCTCTGGATGCTCTGGAAAGAGCTCATAAACAGAACCAGGAGGAAGAGAAGAAATATCTTGAAGAAAGGAAGAAGGTCGAAGCAGCCCTGGAAGAACTCTTACAAAATCAGACTCTGTTCCACGAAGAGCAGCAAAGGGCTGAGAAGAAAGCAGTGGAAGAAAGAGAGAAGACCCAGATTGCTCACAAGAAGGCTCTGGAAGAAAATGAAACAGCTCAGAAAGCTCTGGAAATTGCTCATAAACAAGCAGTGGAGGAACAGAAGAAATCTGTAGAAGAAAGAAAGAAAATGCTGGAGGAACAGGAAAGAGCACAGAAATCTCTGGATGCTTTGGAAAGAGTTAAGAAACAGACTGTGGAGGAGCGTATGAAATCTGTAGAAGAAAGGAAGATGGCTGAGGCAGCCCTGGAAGAACTCCTAAGGACTCAGAAACTGTTTCAAGAAGAACGGCAAAAGGCTGAGAAGAAAGCAGTGGAAGAAAAAGAGAGAATTCAAAAGGACTTAGAAAAACTCCAGATTGCTCAAAAGAAGGCCTTGGAGGAACAGGAGAGAGCACAGAAAGCTTTGGATGCTCTGGAAAGAATTCAGAAACAGACTCTGGAAGAGCATAAGAAATATGTAGAAGAAAGGAAGATGGCTGAAGCAACTCTGGAAGACCTCTTAAGGACTCAGAAACTGTTTCAAGAAGAAAAGCAAATGGCTGAGAAGAAAGCAGTCGAGGAAAGAGAGAAGACCCAGATTGCTCACAAGAAGGCTCTGAATGAACAGGAGATGGCTCAGAAAGCTCTGGAAAAAGCTCATAAGCAGGCAATGGAGGAACAGAAGAAATCCGTAGAAGAAAGGAAGATGGCTGAGGCAGCCCTGGAAGAACTCATAAGGACCCAGAAACTGTTCCAAGAAGAAAGGCAAAGCGCTGAGAAGAAAGCAGTGGAAGAAAAAGAGAGAATTCAAAGGGACCTAGAAGAACTCCAGATTGCTCAGAAGAAGGCATTGGAGGAACAAGAAAAAACTGAGAAAGCTCTGGAAAGAGCTCATAAGCAAGCAATGGAGGAACAGAAGAAGGCTCAGTTGTCTGCACTGCTAGAATATGAACAAACACAGAAAAAATCTGAAGAAGAAAATAAGATGACTGCAGCGGTTCTGGAAGAACTCTTGAGGAAGGTCCAAGAAGAACAAGAAACAGCTGAGAAGAAAGCAATGGAAGAAAAAGAGAGAGCTGAGAAAATGCTGAAAGAATTAGATGCTGCCCAGAAGAAAGCCCTAGAGGATTTGGAAATAGCTAAGAAAAAAGCCAAAAAGGAACAAGAAAAAGCCCAGAAAGCTCAGGATGCTCTTGAAAGAGCACATAAGCAACTCATGGAAGAACAGAAAAATATGCAGAAAAGATCTGTAGAGGAAAAGAAAGCAGCTGAGGCAGCCCTTGAAGAACTATTAAGGACTCAAAAAAAGATCCAAGAAGATCAGCAAAGGACTGAAGAGAAAGCAACAGAAGAGAGACAGCGAGCTCAGAAGGCCCATGAAGAATTAGAGATTGCTCAGAAAAAGGCTGTAGAAGAACAAGAAAGAGCTCGGAAAGAGTGGGAAGCCCTTGAAAGAGCTCATAAGCAGGCTCTGGAGGAACAGAAGAGAGAACAGGAAAAATCTCTTAGAGAAAGGAAGCTGCTTGAGATTGCCCTGGAAGAACTTGCCAGGTCTCAAAGAAAGGTCCAAGAAGAACAGGAAAGGGCAGAGAAGAAAGCTGTAAGAGAAGAAGAGAGTGTTCAGTGGTCTTTGGAAGAATTAGAGATTGCTCAAAAGAAAGCTCTAGAGGACTTGGAGACAGCTCAGAAAAAAGCCATGGAAGAAAATGGAAGAGCTCAGCAGAAGGCCTTGGATGAACAAAGGAAAGTACAGCTAGCTAAAGAAGAGCTGGAGAGGGTACATGCCAGGGCCATAGAAGAACAGCAAAGAGCTCAGAAAGCAGCTTTGGAGGAGCAGCAGAGAAACAGGAAGATGCTTATTGAACTGGAGGAAGCAAGAAGGAAAGCTTTGGAGGAACAGGAAGAAGCACAGATGAAGGCTCGAGAAGAACAAGTGAGAGCTCATCAAGCGATGGAGGAATTGGCAAAGTTTCAAAAGGCAGTTCTGGAAGAGCAAGAGATAGCTCAGAAGGCAGCTCTAGCAGAGCAGCAGAGAACTCAAATGATGATGATGGAACTGGAGGAAAGGCAGAAGAAAGCCTTGGATGAACAGGAACGAATACGGGCAAATGCTCTTGAGCAACAAGAGAGGGCTCATCTTGCTATGGAGGAATTGGCAAAGGCTCAAAAAGCAGCTCTGGGGGAACATGAGAAAGCTCAGAAGAAGGCCTTAGAAGAACAGAAGAGAGCTCAAAGAGCCATGGAAGAGCTGGAGAAGGTACGAAAGCAGGCCTTGGAAGAAATGGAAAAAGCACAGACTAAACATCCAGCACCAAGTCAGGAATCTGTTTTGAAAAAGTTTAATGAGGCATGCAAGATGGTACATAGCATTGGTACTAATGAACCAGAAGGCACTCCAAAGAAAGAGCCGGATGCAGTTCATAAACAGACCGGTGCTGAACCAGGAAATACTCATAATGACTTAGAGCAGAAGGAATATCCACAACCTCACAAGAGCACAGGGCACAGGGGCTCAGAAAGACCATTCCTAACATCTGTTTTGGACTTTTTTCAAACTGAGTACATTCCAGAATTCTGATCCTATAAGGGTTAGGAAAAAAAGGATGAACTGAATTTGGAGGGCATCTGCAGGTATTGTGTTCATTAAAGTAAAAGTTGGGAGGGAAGGAATAAGAAATGTTTCTGTTTTTAAATAGTTCCCCCATACAAACCATTCATACTGTTCAGATTAAGGTAGCCATACATATGTGATCCTGACATAGCTATTTATACATTTAATGCTGAAATCCATTAATAAGACATAGCTAGAGCAGACCCATTGAATCAATGGAGCTTGCAGAGGTGCTGACTTACGAAATCACCACCGATTCATAGGCCTGTTCTACCTGTGACTTAGTACTGGATTTTGGCCATAGTGTGTGTGTGTGTTAGTTAGGTAGTTAGGTACCCTGTTTCCCCGAAAATAAGACCTAACCTGAAAATAAACCCTAGTATGATTTTTCAGAATGCTCGTAATATAAGCCCCAAAATAAGGCCCAGTTAAGTGAGACCCTGCCCTCCACCTTTGTGCAGCAACCAGAAGAAGATGACATGACTGTATTTGAATAAATGTAGATTGCTGTACATGAAAAAAAGAAGACATCCCCTGAAAATAAGCCCTACTGCATTTTCTGGAGTAAAAAATAATATAAGACCCTGTCTTATTACTGGGGAAATGAGTTAGTATCCTGCCCATCTAGTAGCCAGGCCACTATTCTGAGCAGCTTGCAATATCATAACTTAAACATATGATAAAACCGCAACCATAACAAACATACGAAAAACTACAATAATAGTCTAATAAATCATCATACAAAAACCTAAATCTCTGAATATAAAATAACTGATACAAAAAATGTACATATATACGAATGTACAAAGAGACAGCTATGGTGAGGATATGAAAGAGATGCCATTAGACTTAAGGTTCATTTATCAGGCAATACAGGTACTAAATAGAAGGCCAAATAGTAAGCACATGATCTCTATCCTGTTTCTTCTCAACCTAACCCCAATATGTGAAAATAAATAGTAAATTTGGACAGATTTTTACAATGAGATTGTTTCCTATCAAATGTCTTAAACATTGACTGATGTTTAAAATATGATAGATTTTTCACCTATTACAATGAGTCAAATGTTATAAACATACATATATGTATACATGCACATTCACAGCAGAAAGTTAGATAGAGAAATAAAAAACACTGCATTTCAGTGTAGCTGAGCAGGATGGTCATGACAAAAGTTGAACATTATCAAAATAAAATGGCTAGCTATTTTAGTTTCTGTGTTTTCACATTGTGTTGCAGTTCAGTCAAAATTTCATACATGTTGAGGGGAAGAATTCATTCAGTTCCTCAAAACACCTCTGCTTTATGAATGGGGGATATTACACTTCTATATCCACGCTTAAATATGCCAGGAAATAGCCTGATATCGCTGCACAATGAGAAAAGGAGTCAGCTTCTCAGACTTCACCGCTTGTGACTGGCAATGAGTAAAAGAGGGTATACGTAGAGCATCTTGACTACTGTCACTGGTGTCATCAGCAGTCTGCCCTTAGCTAAATAAATGTGTAATCCTTTTTCTTGCTAGCAATGTGTGTACAGAGTTGTGCAGGTTTTTTGAAGAAGTGAACGTCCTGGCTTTTGAAAATGGAATTTTACATATACAAAACTTCACAAACATTTCAGTAGTAGCTTCCTTCATATTACCCAATGCTAGTGGATCCCAGAAAATAATCACATGATATGTACTACAGTTGCTGGGGGAGGGTGGAACCAAGAACAGCTGAGATGTTGCTGTATTCCTTTTGTGCCAAAACATTTTGAAGGGTTGTTATGGACTGAATGGTGAAGCAAAAGCTGTCAGTGAGTGCAACACATGCCACAGAGAAACGTACACACACACTAACTTCTCAGGTAAACTAATGTTGCCATGCCAACTCCACCGAATGGGATTTCCTCAGATAACCTGGACCCAAGATATGTAGTATTTCTATCATTATTGTTTGTATAATGGAAAGAAGTTTAGATAGGCTCTTCCCAAAAGCAAAAGTCAGAGGAAGTCCAGCTGTGGCCTTCCAGATGTTTTTGCAATGGACGTCCATAATCCTTAAACATTGGCTATGCTACTTCCGACTGATGGGAGTTGTAGATCAAAAACAACTGGAGGGCCACAGCTGCCCATGCCTGACTTAGCGGAATGTATGAATTGACAGTCTCCCTTGAAAGGGGCAACGTTGCAGGCTATTAAGCTCCTTTGCAGAGCAGATGTCTTGAGCCATTGCGGTGAATCTGTTATTAAACTCAAAACAGAAACAGACGTTACAGATAGCCCATCATAAGAACTGAAAGCGGTTAGTGTAGAGAGGTGTGACTAAGACAGCCTTTCATATTTGAATGATCATGATAGTTTATCTGTAAGATCTGTTTCTGCCCTTAGCATCAAGTTATTACGCTATTAGGATGGAACCTGTAAATGTTTCTGGAAGGATGAATACTGCTTTAATTGGATAAGTCACACAGTTAGAGAATTAGGTTTTGGTCTCCCTGCTTTGTTTATTTTTCTTTTTTGGTTCCCACCCACCCAGTTTTTCTTGCAGTGGTGCAAATGCCAAACATTGCCTGCTGGCCTTAGTGTCATAGAAGGCTCCTCTTCCTCTAAGACCATTCTGAATCCACTGGGCTTTCCTCCTTTTTGCAGTTTTTGTTCTGGTCATGCATCACTAACTGTTGTGTTTTTGGATGTAAGGGTTATGCCTTTTCAGCAGAGGTTCCAGCAAAAGAAGCACAACAAGCAAAGCAAGTCTTCTTCAGAGGCACTTTACTTTAAACAAAATAAAGAAAATAGCAGCAGACGTACACTCCTACACACCCATTCTAACCCACACCAACTGTTCTGGCGTTTTTCCTTATATACAGGACCAAGACGCCTATTTACATTATCTCTGATGAGCTGCAGCTGTAGTGAGCTGCAGCTAGTCTCTAGGAAAGCTTCCAGAAGCTCAGGGAACAAATGCATAGTTTGACCAGACCACGACACTCCTCCCATTTGTTTCTGAGTTTCTGGTCTTTTCTCTGTTATAACACATTTGCACTGGTTGATACATATACATTGTTTACAGTACAATTTTGCATGTATACAGACCTTCATTTGGTTATGTTATACTGTACAGATACATTTCACTTATGCAGTGTACATTTTACATACTGTTAGGCATATACTGTACATTATACATATTACATCATATGCACTTCATACCCATCATCTGTATACCTTTCTCTTGTTGTTTGCAGCTTTCAGAAGCGTAGGCTGGACCATAACCTGTTGTGTTTTTGGATGTAAGGGTTATGCCTTTTCAGCAGAGGTTCTAGCAAAAGAAGCACAACAAGCAAAGCAAGTCTTCTTCAGAGGCACTTTACTTTAAACAAAATAAAGAAAATAACAGCAGACGTACACTCCTACACACCCATTCTAACCCACACCAACTGTTCTGGCGTTTTTCCTTATATACAGGACCAAGACGCCTATTTACATTATCTCTGATGAGCTGCAGCTGTAGTGAGCTGCAGCTAGTCTCTAGGAAAGCTTCCAGAAGCTCAGGGAACAAATGATAGTTTGACCAGACCACGACAGTTCCTACACAGCTTAGTGCTCTAGGGCAGTCTTCTCAAGATGTTTAGACGGGGTGTCCCTGTTGTGAATGTTTCCACCCATTGTAGCCCGTGCCCCAAGTGGAAAATCAGAAAGACCGCTCCAAAATGCATTGGCAGCCATTTATTTTATTGAACAAATAGACAGCACCTCTGTACTTTTCTGAATTGGCGCAAAGGATTCCACCGCTTGAACTGATATGAATGCATTTGCTAATTTAAAAAGAAAGAAAAAGAAACCCCAGCAGTGGAGAGGGGAAAAATCTGTGCGGGGGGGGGACTCTGAGCTGATTTGCATTGACTTGCACGTAATGAAGTCAATAATATGAATCGGTCTGTCCCTATCCCAGAGCATTTCCAAACTTATTTGTCAGTGTGGTCACCCTCTAAGAAAGCTATTCACAGGCTGCATTTTCAGTTTTCTAGATCCTTTTCACTGCCTTAACAACCTGATATCCTATCTGGAATGTTATAATTAAGGAGCTGGACACAGCTCATTAAGAAATTTACTGAGGAAACAATATTTTCAATTGATCTTGTATAGGGAGTGGGTATAATCAGCAGTGAAGAAATCTGTTCAAAGTAAGGGTGGTCATAGTGCTGCCCACCAAATGTGTCAGATTGCCCCTTCTAGCATTTGTCACTATTTGTTGTGCTTAGGGCACAGATGAGTTGTAATCCCATCATTCCAAGCCAATCTGGAGGGCCACACTTAGCTCATCCCTGCTTTAGGGACAAAAGGTGCTTTCCTGGGACTTGTGTAACTGGAAAGGATTCACTTGATCAAGGTTTATCCCTTGTTTCCTGCCAAGGAGCTTGCAATGCTTACTTTTTCCTGAACTCTACACTGAAGCAGGAGACATAGGAAGTTCTCACAGGCTAAAAGCCGTAAGTCTTAAAAAAATAATTGTGACCCTGCATCTGATAATATGTTCCCACTGCAAATGTTTGTGCCAGCTTTTTCCCCCCTGTAGTGTGCACTGGACTTGTATTAGATACTTCATGTATTCTGGGCGGAGGCTGACCCTTTCTCTTGGATGACAATGCTTAAGGCTGTGGAGCCGCTCAGAGATCATGCTTTATTTATAACTATATGTTCCAAATATTGCCACTGGGTGGCAATGTAGCCGAATTGTAAGTGAAACAGGAAGGCTTGCTTCCAAAACAACTTTCCTTTCTGAGCTAGCAACAGATCAGTTTTGTTGTTATTAATTAACTGGCATTTCTTGTGTGGAAAATATGATGAGCATTCATTCCTTGCTAGTGTTTCTCCTGTGGGCTAAGCCATCTGCAGTCCCTGTTTGCATTAACTCAGGGTGAACTATGCATCAACTCAAGGAGAACCTGCATCAGCTCAGAGACAATAATAGCCCCCTCAGTGCCCTTCCTTTGACTTCATATATTAAGGCTCAAATGCCGCCTCACCTGGGGCAGGGGAATACTTTCCCCAGTATCAAGAGGACTTTTCCCCCCCGATGAGTCTAGTAGGAAGGTGAGGAGTGTGTGGCTCACCAGATCATTTCCGACTGCAGCTCCCACCATCTCTTAGAATGGAATATGGTGCCTACAATTCATGAGAGCTGTGGTCCAAAAATATCCGAAGGGTCCTATGTTGCTCATACATGCTGGTGCTCTGCATTCAGAGTTCAAGGAAATATGAAGCCTCTCTAACTGGTCTTCAGTGGAAAATTATGGCACCCATGCCAAAATTGTGTTGATGTTCTATGAGGTTGCCTCCAACTTACAGTGAGCCTATGAATG